CCTTGACCTCTAGTGCAGAAACTGCTGGCGACTTTGAAAGGGCAGTCCTCCAGCCACAGAGAAAATTGCCGGCTCTGCAGGCTGGGATTACACACGGACCTGCAGCACCGTCAGTATCTGCATGGATTTGCAAGATGAAACTTGCCTCCAAAGAAAGGTCTCCCTTCTGGCCAGACGCCCCTGCCCTTTTGGGCTCTTTGCTCTCTCGCCTTCGGCCTTCAGGAACAGCTGAGCGGAGGGTGTGGGCCATCTGAGCCAGGGTAGGCTGTCTCTGGAGCTGGAAAAGGCTCAGGATGAGCCCTTCCTGGCTGGAGGCCCCACCCAGGAACCTGAGAAGTTCACGCTGTTGAACAGCTTAGTATTCTCCACTTGTAAGGACCTGAGCTACAGTACGCCTGAAGGGAGCTGAAGTACAAGAAAAGAAAGAGAACAGCTGCTGGGCGTGGTGGCTCACGCCTGTAATCCCAGCATTTTGGGAGGCGGAGGCGGGCCAATCACACGGTCAGGAGATCGAGACTATCCTGGCTAACATGGTGAAACTCCATCTTAATAAAATAAAATAAGAGAACAGCTTCATGTGCTACAGTGAAATCCCACCAAGAGAATTCTCTGATATGGTTCACAAGCCCTGAACAGACCCTCCCCGGCACACCAGACCCCCATCAGATCTCAGCAGCCCCAGCGGAGTCACAGTCACCAAGCAAAGGGGACTCCAACAAGTGACTGCGGGTGACCCTAAGGTGGACATCCGTGTGCACCGAGCCTCTGTTAGCAGAGGGTTCTCTAAAGCAAGAAACAATATTCCAGCAACTAGCGAATCCGGGCCCAAGTCGATGCATTGTGTTGACGACTCTGAAAGAGACTTTCCGCCTCCCCAACTTTTGGAGAAGGTAACTTGAAAGAAAACTCGATACCTGCTGTTTTTTTTTGGCTGCTCAGCATCTCAGCTTGTCCATTTCAGGGACCCCCTGCCTGGAGGAGGAAAAGTCTGCCTGGCACGGTCCAGGATGAAAGTGCTAGAGACCACCTGCCCGGACCCCCAGGTGAGCGGTGACCCAGGCTATGGGCTGGAGTGGCTGATGGGAGGTAGCAGGCAAGGCGGGTTCCGGGACGCTGAGGGTGGGCGTGGCTGCTGCAGAGGTTCTGGAAGCTCCAGGGACCTCACCGTAAACCCGCGGAGGTTCTGGGTTATGGCTGGGAGGTATTCCTCGTGGTCTCATTCTCCAGCCCCCTGGTGATTCCATCAGGCCACCCAAAACCTTTCCAACACAGTCCCTTTCCTCTTGAGTAAACCAGAGTCTGTGTCTATTGCTAGAATCTAAAACTAACTAGGCTGTTTCTATCGCTAGAATCTGAATCTAAAACTCCCACATGTGGTATGCCACTAGCACTGTGTACCAGAGAATGTCTCGTTTTCTTTTATTTTTTTTAAATCAATTTATTTCAAGAGCTCTAAGGGTACCGGTGGGTTTTGGTTACATGGATGAATTGTGTAGGGGTGAAGTCTGGGCTTTAGGTGCACCCGTCCCTAGAATAGTGCAGGTTGTACCCAGTAGGTGATTTTTCTTTCCTCTCCCCCCCACCACCGTTGCAAGTCTCCAATGTCCAATGTACCCACTCTGTATTACCCAGAGCTTAGCTCCCACTTATTTTTATTTTTATTTATTTATTTTTTGAGACGGAGTTTCACTGTTGTCGCCCAGGCTGGAGTGCAATGACGCGATCTCGGCTCACTGCAACCTCCACCTCCTGGGTTCAAGCAATTCTCCTGCCTCAGCCTCCCAACTAGCTGGGATTATAGGCACCCGCCACCATGCCCAGCTCATTTTTTGTATTTTTAGTAGAGACGGGGTTTCTCTATGTTGGTTGAACCTCCACTTCCCAGGTTCAAGCAATTCTCAAGCCTCAGCGTCCCAGAGTGCTGACAGTGCTGGCATTACAGGCGTGAGCCACCGCACCCGGCTAGCTCCCACTCATAAGTGAAAACATATGGTATTTGATTTTCTGTTCCTGGTGACTCTATTTTGTTTTAGGTTGAACCCTGACTTGGCAACAAAATCTTGACCATCCTGGAGTACTTTTGAAGTCATATTTAATTCTCTGAAAACACAGGCAGTGAAGCCGACAAGTCCTGGAGCCCAGTCTTTATGCAGGAGAGGGAGGCAGAGGAATGGACATTGTAAGAATTAGTAGTACACAAATATTTCCCAATGGTCTGAAAGCCTCAATGCACCCAACTAAAGGATACTTGAAGATCGAGGCTTTCCGACAGGAGGAAGAGCCCATCTCAGAATCCAGCCCAGGGCCTGTGGGCTGGAGAGAGGTACAGGTCCCCCTGTTTCTCCTCCTGTGTCCCCCAGCCATCCTCCTTCAGTGTTCCCAGATGGCATGGTGCCAATCACATAACTGGAGTGTTGGGGGCCCTCACTGGGCCCTGCAGGGACTCATGGCAATAAGACAGAGGGCAGGTGCATTGAACGTGGGTTCAGAAGCCTCGGCCCCAACCCGGGCTATTCTGCACTGTGGGCTGGAACCTTTGATGGCGGAGCGCGTGGGACCCCTCAGGGCCAGCTTCCTCCTTTGTAAATAAGGGCAGGAGGGATGTAAATCACTGATTTAAGTCAGGGGTTCTCAAATTCTAGTGCAAGAACTGGTGCTGGACTGTGGAAAAGTATCCATTTTCACAGGTTGATGTAGAAACAAGAAAACCACAATAACAAGAAAGTAATGATTTTGTCCTAAAGCTAATTTATTTCCATTAAAATGCCGAGAAGTTCTGTTTTGTTATAATTTACTTTGCATGTGAATTCTATCACGGCGGTGAGGTGGGTGATAGGTGTTCTAATTACTTCATTTGAGTGAATAAAAAGCAACTCAATACAGGTCTTCAAATTTTTTTTTCTTTTTTTGAGATGAAGTCTTGCTCCGTCACCCCGGCTGGAGTGCAGTGGCGCAAACTCAGCAGCTAGAATCACAGGCACCCACCATCATGCCTGGCTAATTTTTGTATTTTTGTAGAGATGGGGTTTAACCGTGTTGGCCAGGCTGGTCTTGAACTCTTGACCTCAGGTGTTCCACCCACCTCGGTCTCTCAAAGTGCTGGGATTATAGGTGTGAGCCACTGCCCCTGGCCCCAAATCTTTTTTATAAAATTTATCAGCCTGTGAGATCCAAAACTCTGGTAACTACTAGGTTAACTAAAGTCCAAATTTCCTTCTACTTGTGTCTATGGATTTAGCTGAGTAGAAGTGCCTGGAATGCAGTGAAATAGTTGAGAGTCAGATTTTAATTTAACATTAAATACTAAGTCTAATACACAGGCAATGAACAGATGCGTTAGCACTGGTTAAACTGAATGGATTGTTCTCTGCTACATACCATGAATGGAAGACAGCAAAAACGGCATGCCCTCTTTCAGCCGCTGTGAACAGTGAACTGCGACGGCAGCTGGTGACCTACATCCTTTCAGAAAACCTTGAGGAGAGGACGTCTCTCCAATCTTTTATGTGGATAGTGGTCAGCGCTCACTATCAATCACTGACTCTTGGTCCACAGGGCACATGGCACCTGCTTCCATTTCAGAAATAGGGGTGACTTCAAGTCGCAGGGAACTCAGTGGAGAATGAACCTGTGCTTGCAGAACAGTGGGCCATTTCAAAGTCTGTGTTTGTGAGTTGCTTACATCCTATTTGTTTCCATTTCCCGCATGAGGGCCTATGCTATCTGCAGGTAGAGAAATGACAGGAATGTGAATTGATGCTGATCTTTTAAAGTTAAGTACTTTTATAATACGGAGCTTCACAAATTCTAAAAAGGCCCTGCTGGTTAGTCTTCTGTTTTTCCCACGTGTCCTGGGTCCCACCCAAAGGGTAAGAACACCCAAACTCTTTTTTGCTTCTAGTCTAAGCGAGGGCTTTGTTTTCATAGAACTGTGCCCCTGTCTCATTCTGTAATGGAATATAATTGCATGCGTGGATGTATGTATTTGAGTAACAGCCATCATCCTCTCTGGGTCCAAAGCACTAAGAGATCCGGATTAGGCCTGTGGTGGTTGTCTTTGTGTATCCATCACACTGCAGGCATGCAATCAGTGTGTACTGGCTGGATGGCCAGGATGAAGTGCCAGGGCGCTCATCTCTGCTTCAGGGCACATCCTCAAAACGCACTTGTTGGTTGGTAAGAACCAATTTTCTGCTTCTCTCTGCCTTCGAATCTAATGGCTTCAAATTTACACTAAAACTGAATCGCAGGGTTGATACTACTAGTTCTAAGACGAATGAGTTCTGGGAGCCTAATGTACAGTATGGTGACTAGAGATGATGACACTGTATTGTATACCTGAAATTGGCTAAGAGGGTAGATTTTAAATACTCTCACTCTAAAAAGAAAGAAAGAAAAGAAGGAAAGAGGAAGAGAAGGAAGGAAGAGAAGGAAAGGAGGAACAGAGGGAGGGAGGAAGGAAGGAAGGAGGGAGGGAGGGAGGGAGGGAGAGAGGGAAGGGAGGCGAGGGAGGGAGTGGGGAGGAAGAAAGGAAAAATTCATTTGCTATATGGGCCTTGTTAACAGTCATAGTGGGACATTAATATAGGATGATAGTATTTTTTAAAATCAAATAATTCGTCCCCTCCAGCTTTGCCCGCCCCGAGCTCCTCTGCTCCCGGCCGTGCCCATCTTGGGGCGGCGCGAGGCACGGGCGAAAATGAAAAGGAAAAATAATTAATAATAATAATAATAATTCGCTCATCCTTTGAGACCCTCCAGGAACGTTTCTCCAACACCCCCCAGCAGCCACATCTTTTAAAGCCCTTGCATCATTTTTTATTTCTGCACAAGTCCTCCCACTAGATCCTGAGCTCCTAAGGGGCAGGAATCCAGACAACAGACTGATGATTAAGTATGGGCTAGTTGCGGGGGTTCCCAGAGCTGTGGCTCGCATGGGACCCCAGAAACTAGGCATTCAGTAATAAAAATGGCTTTGGATCGTTACAGAAGGAACCTACCCAGAAGGACTCTCAGCATCCTGTTTCTCTGCAACATCTGCAAAGAGCCGCCTCCGGGGTCTGACTCAGCAGAGGCCCCATCCTGGGTCTGGGGGGAGGTGAGTGCGCCCCCACCCTCCCTCCCGAGCCCGTCCTGCAGTTTAATCATGCTCCGCATCTATTCTAGGCCACGCTCATCTCCTGGGGTGGAAATGGGTTCTTGACAGTATTCCTTTCACGTTTTAATCTCTCCGTGCTAATTGCACCCCGTCCTGTCAGTGCAAGGATGGCTCTTCCTCTGTGTCAGATGAGCGGCTCTGCCCGCGCACAAGCCCCGCCCCTTCGGGAAGCCCCGCCCCTTCGGGAAGCTCCGCCCCGCCCCGCCCCACCGGGCAAAAAGCCCCCTTGTGTGGCTGACTCTCCCCCACCTGCCATCCAGGGAAGGATGTACAAGGACGCAGCACACCAGATGGCATTTGCTAACCAAGGGGACACCTAGTGATGAAAGGGATGAAAAGCAGCCGTGACAGGCCCAGAATGTTCTTTTGAGTCTTTTTATTTTTCAGGTTTGTAAAATGCATTATTTAGGATGAAGCACTCCAGGTCAGAGCCTCACCACGTATTTTCGATCCGGTGTTTCCAGGGAAATTGGCTTTGGTCGCCGTCTCAACCGCATTGGATCTATGAGGGTGTATTTAAAAACAAAACAAAACTTCTTTTCAAAGTTCTCCATCATCATTAAAACATATTTTTAGACATCTTATAATTTGCAGGGCACGGTTAGGGTTTGGCAAAATAGAGGCAAGAAGAGGTTGGCAAAGGAACCTCAGCTCGTGATCAGGAAACAAGTTCCGTTCCTGCCCTATGGCTCGCCTCTGTGGCTGTGGGAAAGTCAGTGAGCTCTCTGATCCTCAGTTGCCTTGGCTGTCACATGAGGCTGTTGAACTACAGGGTCTAACATTGTAAAAACGGGTGATGAACAGCCCTGCAATTGATTATTCTATAGACGTCTTGGGGGCTGGTAGAAACGAGAGGGGCTGGAGGTGGAAGAAAAACAGACTCTGTCCTTGGAAACTTTTCTGGTACATGAGCACTAGTCATGAGGGGACTGGGGAATGGACACTCTGTCTCCACTTTGCAAGGCTACCTATGAATTATGCATATGGTACACACAGGCAAAAGGAATGGATAATTACCGGTTTGACCTCTGAGAAGAGACACACTGGGTGAAAGGAATGTTGTTTGCTAGAGTGGGTAGAACAGGGGCTTTTCGGCTCTATTTAATAAAGGAAATTTACTAAGCATCTAGGCTATACCCACCCACCTAACAGGCCAAGAAGCCAACACTCAGAGTGATTGAAGTAATTGGATCAAGAGCACACCATTGGTTGTAAAGTCAGAGAAATCCACCACTAGGGAAAGCCATTCTAAAGAACAAGAAATTCAGTGTTTACAGCCCAACTCATGCAATGATAGAGTCTAGTTTCCACATTAATGTTGACAACAGTCATGTAAAGCAATGTAAAAATGTGACAAATATTATCAACCATTGTCTATACGTGCCTCAGTCATGTGCAGAGCCTCAGATATCCTTGAGAGAGCAAAGAGAGACATGATACCTAGGTCCCCAGGGAGAGGCAATTCTTGGGATGCTCCTTGTTTCTTGGACACAGTGTCTAACCAAAGACCAAGGCCCCTGTCCTCTAGAATTTTGGAATTAGTCCCAAAACATTGTATTTTAAATTTTCTAGTGTTTTTATCCAACAAACAGAACACCTATACCACTGAACTTTTCTCCCCAAGTTTTTGCATACTGAAAGAGGTCAACATTACTGGCCTCATCTCTTTTCACTCTCCTCCTCCCTCGCCCTCCACCTGCTGGCCGCCTCCTTGTCCCTCCCTGAAGATGGCAGCCACAGTGCCCATGCAGCTCAGCACCTATACACAGGCTGCTCCTCTGCTCACAATACTCCAGAATCTACCCTGTCCACTTCCCTGTCATCTTCAAGGTTCTGCTCAAATATCTTCTTCACAGGAAGCCTTCCCTGAGTGTCCTATCTAAGATCCAGCCCCACTCCTGGTTCCTTTTCCTTTGAATTGTTTTTTTTCTTTGACCCTCATCACCTTCTAACATTTTCGTTTTTTGTGTGTCTCCCCTCAAGTGTGTAAGCTTCATGAAGATCAGAGCTTGGGTTTGTTTTGTCCCCTGTGATGTCCACAGGTCCCAGCACGGTGTCTGGCAGAGTGCTGAATATTTTTCTGAGTGCACGCAAGCTTTGCTTCACTTTCTGTTTTTTGTCCCTGCTTGCCTCTTTCCCAAACCTGCTCAAGTCTCACCCCCTAACTAGAAGTGGATTAATTAACTTCACAGCTGAAAGAGCCATTTCCGGCCTCCTCATTTGAGAAAACCAGAAAGGCTAACAGCACAGATCCAGGACTTGAACTTGGATCTCATATTGCCTCCCAGCCATGGCTCTCCTAACAGTTCCGGATTCCTCCAGCCTGGTGTGCACCTTCTTTCTTCCTCCGGGGTCTGGCCCTCTCTACCTGTATGTGCCACGCCTTCTTACACTTCATCTGAGCAATGCTGAACCCTGATTCTGCCACAAGTTAAGTATGTGGTCTTGGGCAAGTGACTTAACTTCTCTCTGCCTTGGGCTTCTCTCTCCTCAAGGGAAGAGTAGCATTTCCATTAGAAGATGTTCGCAAGGCTCAACTAAAACGAAGGAAGCACTGCCCTCTCCTCAGTGCCTGGCCATTCCTTTCCCTTTGGGGGAAATGGTCATTTGCTCAACAGAAACAGGAAGTTTCTCGAGGTCTCTCTGTTGTCCCCATCCCCAGGCCTAAGCTCCTAGAAGACAATGAAGAAATCCTTGGGGAGTGAAAATGAGTTTTAAAGGGAGGATGGTGGCCTCCATAATGTGGGCATCCCACTGTCTGGGCTGGCTGGTGGATCCTAGCTCGCAGGCCTGGCACCCCTTAAGACTGATGATGAAGATGAACAAGGCCTCCAAGATGCCAGGTAAGGCAACAGGGGGTGTTTTCTGCCTTTCTCAGGGGCCAGCTTGTTAGCAAAACATCTCAATTTCAAAAGTCACCCTCAAGGTAATGGGGCAGGAATCTTGACTTCCTCAGAGACCACCATAATGAGCATTTCTCAAAGTCTGCTCTTCAGTATCTAAAAAGAAAAAACAAGTGAGGGTGTTGTGTGATTTTTAAACAGTTTACAATACTAGGTTAAGGAGTTACCCAACTGCATTTATGCAGGACTTCCCAGAGACTTCGTCAACTGTATGTGCATTATGACTCTCCAAGAGGGATGGAGGTATACACACGCTGAAACAGTTTCCCGGGGTATTCGGTCAAGATACCCTTGCTTTCCAAGGAGCAGCTGTTATGCTAGACACCACATTCTGGGGAAATACAGCTCTAGACAAACTCAGATTGGGGCATGAAAGCTGAGCCTGGAGACACTAAGTGGCTTGGCCAGGATTAAACAAATAATGGCAGAACCGGGGCTATAATCCAGGGCCCTGGTGTGTTTCCCAGTGCTCTTCCTTCTACATGGCACTGAGGTTGGTGAAGGCCTTCGAATCAGACCAGCTCTAGTGACAGAGCATGGGGTTTTCGCTGGAGAAAATACACTGGCATGAAATGTAACCAGCAAGACAGTCTTACCAGAGATAAAAAGTGAAAGTGTACATGTGAGTGTGCGTGTGCATATGTGTATGTGAGTGTGTATGTGTGTGTGCATGTGTGTATGTGCATGTGTATGTGCATGTGTGTATGTGAGTGTGTATGTGTGTGTGCATGTATGTATGTGCATGTGTGTATGCATGTGTGTATGTGAGTGCCTATGTGTACATGGGAGTATGTGTGCATGCATGTGTGTGCTTGTGAGTGTATGTGTGCGTGTGACTATGTAAATGTATGTGCATGAGTGTTCATGTGTGCACATGTGTGTGCATGTGTGTGAGTATGCATGTATTTGAGTGTGAGTGTGCCTGTGATTGTGTGTGCATGTGAGCATGTGTACATGTGACTGTGTGCATGTGTGTGTGTGAGCATACATGATGTGTGTGTGCATGTAAATGTGCATGTGAGTGTGTGCATGTGTGTGTGCATGTGAGCATACATGTGTGTGTGCATGTAAGTGTGTGCATGTGTGTGTGTGCGTATGTGTTTTGCAGGGGTAGCAGCAACAGCACTGAAGGGCCTATTCCCACCCAAGATGGTTGCATGGTCCTTGCAAGCCCCGTTGAAGATCTCTCCCCTAGCCCAGCATGGTCCCTGCAAGTCCCGGTGAAAGAGGATCTCCCCCAGCCCTCCCCTGGCTTTTCGTGTTTCTGGGCACGGTGGGTGCACTCCCTGGCCCACTGTGGAAGGCTGAGTGCAGCCCCTAAAGAGATCCATGTCCTCATCCTCAGAACCTGTATATGTCACCTTATACGGCAGAAGAGACTTTGCAGATGTGATGAAGCTGAGGGTTTTGAGACGGGGACATGCTCCTGCATTATCCAGGTGGGCCCTGTGTCATCACAAGGGTCCTTATGAGGAGGCGGGAAGATCTGACCACAGAACAGGAGTAGGGACTGCGATGATGATGGCAGAGACTGGAGGGACAGTTTGAAGGCAGAGGAAGGGGCCGCAAGTCCAGGGGTTCAGGTGGCTGACAGAAGCTGAAAAAGGCAAAGCAATTCTTGCCTGGAGCCTTCAGAGGAGGCCAGTCCTGCCAACATTTCAACTTTAGCTCCATGAAACCGATTTTGGACTTCTGAATAAATGTGTGTCACTTGAAGCCAGCAAGTTTGTGTAATTTGTTACAGAAGCAATAGAAAATGAATACATGCAGTCTGATGAGAATATCCCAGTCCACTCGGAGCAGGTTGTGCTGCCCATATAAGGTGAGTGCTGGTGACAGGGAGCCTGCGGTGGTGTGACTGGTTCGTGTATGCAGCTGGGTCACCCCACACTGCTGGGAACCACCCAGAGGTCTCCTCCAAGCATTGTCCTCTGTCACAGCTTCATATGGAGGGAATGGGGCCACGTCAGTCTCCCACTCAGAGGTAAAGGCATCTGTGTCTCCTGCAGCGTCATCAATTTGTCCCTGTGGCAAGAAGCAGGGAGTGACTGATTTGTGACACCACGCCTCACCTGTATGGCTTTCAATGACTTTTCCTTGGCAGCATTGTAGCTGAGCTGTCAGGCAAAACGACCCAAGCAAGTTGCAGCTGCCCAGGAACTGGAAGTGCTTGCTTATAAAACGTTTCGACATTTCCAAGGGTGT